CCTTCCTTCCTTCCTTCCTTCCTTCCTTCCTTCCTTCCTTCCTTCTCCCCTTTCTGAGGTATTTTAACTTATTGTGCAGTTTATAAACTAGAACAAAATAAACACTCACAGAAAATTACTCTACGGTTTGTTCTGTTCTGCTGCTCGATGTCAGCAGTGCAATTTCATGGGGAACTGCAAATCTAAATGTTCTGGAGAACTCTGGAATGTTCTGTTCCTCCTCTGGATCATCTCAGTCTGGTTGTTCCAGGGCGGTCCATAGGGTTTCTGGACATGAACCAGTTCCCAAACAACTTAATCACAAACTATATTCCATGCTCTCATATATATTGGTTAAAGGAATTTCTCTTTTTTCCTTTAACCTGCTATATCAGTACATTTATTGAACCTGATCCAGTGAATTGTTTATTTCTTATCTACCCTGGGTCTGCATTTGTTCTGTTATGGTTGAAACAAAAAGAGATTTTATTTTTAGGACATCTCCCTTTGTTCCTGTGGACACAACAGAGACCAGGTTCAGCTTCCCTGTTGCGTAATCCCATCAGACCTCAGGAAACCATTCCCTTCCCAGAACAAATTATTGCTCACTTTAACAAAGACAAAATGAGATTGACTAGAGGCATTCCTGTGTAAATGGTCAAGGCAGACCTAATTCACTTCCTTCCCCTAGTTTGGAATGGCTCCCATCCTGCTGGTGTTTCAAAGGGTCTTAAAGTCCTGGATTTACAACCAGGCCTTTGGAAAAGATGACTGATGCCCCTTTCTTCCAAATCCTCTGGGTTTATTTTCTTTGGCATTGTTGTTTGTTTGTCTTGGGCTATTTTTGTGAGTTTTTTTCTATTGTTCTTTGTGTTTTTAATGTTTTAACAATTGTAAACTGCTCAGGGTCACTGGGAGTTGGCATATAAATTTAACAAATTATTGTTGGTTGCACAACCACCCAGCTGTTTAGACTGGATTTGGCATGTTTATCCACCTATCAGGTTCTTGCCAAGGACCTGGGATAGGCAGATGTTGTTGTTTGATGATGTGAAAAGTATCGTCACAGGATGTAAGGTGATCCAAGTAAAGCTGCCTTTTGCAATTGACTGATGGTGATTTTGTCAATGCTGAAGGAGTTCAAGTGGTTAGATTATTATTGTTGTTCTTCACGTTCTTGTTATTATTGAAATTGCAACAAATTGACTGGTCCGTAAAGTTCTAATCCCACCAGGGTTCCTTTACTTGTTAATCAAAGACAATAGTTATTTCCAGCACTGCTGTCACCTCCAGAAACCACAGGTTACCTTAACAATATAACAATTCTCCTTACACAAGCAAACTTCTCTGGAATTCTCTATATCATCCCAAGGTCCTGGCAGCAAAGCAGAGTCCTAGAATTTCCCACTCTACAATTCAAATCCTCATAAAAGGTCTTACCTTACTATCGTTCTTGGTTCTTCTTCTTTTCTAAGACAGAACCCTATATTGGTGACAAATCGATGTACAGTTCAAATGAAGATGCTTACTGAAGAACAAACAGAAAATGTTTAAATTCTGATGAACTGAAAGCATCAGTTACATGGAAGAGGAAAGAGAAATTAATGATTATGTTAATCATTATTAATGTTAATCTGTTATCAGGAACAACTCAAGGAAATGGAGGACTAGCCAATAACTTGAGGTTAGTGTTGACAAAATCAGAATAATTAAGAATAATAAATCATCTTACTCAGGAGGCACACCTTGTCATTTTTTCAAAGGTTAAAAAAAATAACTAGGTTAAGCTTTAACCTATGAATAATTGCTCTCTGATTTAGAGAAGAATAAACAAATAAGCATATTATGAAAAACCTGGAGCCTGGAAGGGAGAAGAATATGTTCTGTCTCTGATTGCACTGAGAGGGAAGACCTGAAGAGGCATTAAATGTATTTGACTGAACCTACTTATGTTGTTTTGTGCAATCCAGAGTGTTGATTCCAAAGATTGGAGATTAACTTGGTTTCCTCATTACTCTTCTGGGTTTTCCAAAGTAGTGATATGCAGAGAAATTATCCTCAGTTTTCCTTCTGTACCAGTTTTTATTCCATCTGATGACATAGAATCTGCTTTCAGTGTCTATTTCCATTCCAGCAAAGATTTCAGTTGTGTTCTTATGGGACGTTTCGTGTTCTTGCACTCATTGGTTGCATTCATTCAATATATATTTACCTGATCACTGAATCAATCTTTTTTTTTTCTGGATTCACACAAAACATTGAATTCTAAATTATCCAAGGTCTGATTTGTACTACACACCAAGGCCCCAAAGACAAGCCAGAGGTAATAATGGGCAGAGTACAAGGTTCATTTCAACCACTTACATTCTATGTTCATGAAGCCAACTTAATATTTGGTGTAAATGTAGCCAAAGGGTCACTAATTGACCTGGTCACATTTGTTGTATGAATACAGCTGCTGAATTACAAAGTGGCTAGGTCTGTGTCTGTGTGAATGATTGGTGTAGATATCCAGTTTTTCACAGTGCAGCACTCTTTTCAGCAGACTGCAAGCTCCATGGTTTCATGAATGAATCATTCTTAGATGAATCAGCTCAACAACTGGAAAGAGAAAGTTCAGGAAATTTTGCTGAAAATTGGGAGTGATGTGTAGGAAACTTCTTGTTCTGGCAGGATGTTGAGGGTGGCTTCTTATTTTATCAAATGAGAATACAGCTTATGAATGTGAATTCTGGTTTCAGCATTTGATGTTTTCTCTCTTCTGCCTTCCTTCTTCCTGTTATATTTCCCTAATTTGTAGTTCCTATGTTTTTGCTCTTTTGAAACTCTGGACTGACTTCACATCTGATGTACAATTTAGCTCAGATTTTTTGCATTCTCCATGAAGACTTGAATACTTTGCTGAAAAGAGAATTCTGACCTTCAGTTCTCTTTTCATCTTGCAAAACCTCCCAAGTGTTCCCCAGTTCAGCAAGAGTCTTATGCGTGCTTCCATTAGATCATGGAGGAGCTCCTCTTGTGGCTGTTTTTCAGATGGGGACAAGTAGGTATTCAGGCAGGCTTCAGACTGATGGAAAGATATGTTACAGGAAACAATATTAGCAGTAGCACCCACTGTGAATCCCAACAATAAAGTTAAATATACTATGGAAAGAAATCCAAAAAGAAGTCTAGAGCCTCTTAAGTATACAACAGAACAAGAACGATGTTTATTTTTCAAGAGGAAACAAAACTGTTACAAGCATGCAAGGCAGTTCATTTTTAGTGTCTGAAGAGATCTATTCTGACATCCATGTAAAAGATGAGAAGGGGATGAGTTCCTCTTGAACTTTGGGTATAACAGTAGGTGCTTGTTTTGATGAACTTGAAGACCATCATATTAGAAAGGAAGTGAGATCATGAGAAAAAATGTGGGGTGTAGAGCCTGCTTCATATAAAGCACTTGACTGTTTACACACAAATTCTATCCATTTTTAATATGAAGTTAGGATGTTAAAAAAAAAAAATCAGTACCAATTCCAGCAGCAGCAAAACTACATAAACTGCCTCATGGATTCTATTGTAACATGGATGGGCAAGCACAGACTAAGTCTCTTAGGATCCCTTTAACCATTTGTATAAAGAAAGATATTTGGGAACATATGCATTTATAGTTGCCTTCTCCCCCCAAAAATGCATCAGTGATTATTCCATTAAATAAGTAGGTAGGGTAGATGGATGGGTGGGTAGATAAATGGATAGATAGATCTAGATTAGATTTAGATAGGCAGATAGAGAAAATACTCAGATTAATGGATCTTGGTTTGGCTGACACCAGATTTGTCAGGATGTTTCCCTCCCCCCATTTGGATTAAATTCTCATTTAACAGACCAATGTCCATTAAAACAAGGGTTTGTCTGTTAAATCAAATGTTTAATGAAAAGGATGCTATATACATCAATTACACAGTTATGCAAATGATAGCAATTGACACAAATGACATGCATTTAGATTTAAATGGGCATTCAGATTTAACAGACATTCCCTAAATGATCCATTAAACTGAGGTTATATACAGTATATATACTGTATCTATTGCGTACTTACATATAAAACTGAAGCAAAATATGTTCTAAATTATGACTATATTAAGGACTGTTGTGCTTAATACTCTGCATGTTAAGAAATTTTCAAACAAAAAATAGGAATTCCATCTTTTTTCAATAATCAGAAAAGTGGATGAAGCAAAATTATTCGTGGACTAGATACTGACTGATCTACAAATCTCTGGTGGGAAATAAGCCATATTGTATTCCACGGGGTTTACACCAGATTAGGTATGTAATAAATGGATGACTTAATTATTATTATTGTTATTTTTTAAAAAATAAGACCGATAGCTGTGTGTCTGTCTATCGGTATGTGGCCGTTTTCTCAGTAAGATCTTATAGGGACTTTTAAAGGCAGACATCCATTGTTGTGCCAGAACAACAGTAATAATGCTACTTTAATGATGGCTAGGTGTTGCTATGAAGACACTATACGTCATGAGTGGGGAAATGGCCTGTGGGGTGAGAGCAAAAATAGATATGGAGCCAGCATTTTCTTTGCAGGGATGCTATAGAAAGTCAACTCCATTATACCCTCACATTTGAGAAAGCTTTTGACACAGGCAAATGTGTGAAAAGTGAACCTTAGCTAACTACCTTCTCTCCAACACCCCCAATGATTAATTTATATAGCATAAAATACACAACACATTTCTACAACTACAACAAATGACTTTCCCTAGGGTATTGTTCCCTTGTTTTGTTTCATCATTTTGTATTTATCTCCAAAATATCTATATTGTATGCATGCTGTTATTTTACGTGCCCCCAAGGAAGAGATGGTTTGCATGGATGCTTTTCTTGTCTGCTTCATAATTTCTCCTCTCTTCTCTTCTCTTCTCTTCTCTTCTCTTCTCTTCTCTTCTCTTCTCTTCTCTTCTCTTCTCTTCTCTTC